CCCCGCCCGTCGGACAACGTCACGGGGTCAAATCTGTAGAGCACAGCAGTAAATCACCTAACATGGTTTGGATAACTCCGCAGGGGTCACCGCACGTAACGCCCCAGATATGGCATTGTATACGTACCGCTGCAACGGGTGTGTTCATTGTTAATTTCCATTTGGTGCAGCTTGCCATGGCCGTGTGTCGAAAGCGTGTGAGTCCACGAGGCGCTGGCTCTCTTCAAACAAAAAGTTGCTACAGCATGCATATGTTCCACTGCCGCTTCACGCGTCTGGGAATGTATCTCACCTGCATCTCCTGCAGATTCCTCAAGCAGTCTTCCCTCGTCCTCTGTCATACTACAGGAGCGGTAGCAAAGCCCCCCAGTACCGGACCCTTCAGACAGACGGCGGCAGCACTCGTCGCGGCAGTTCAACAAATCAAACGCTCGCTTCAAAGCTTTGGCTGCCCTTGCAGCACCCCCTGGTTCGTCACTAGAGTTGCGCAGAAACTCGCCACGCACTTGCGTCAGTAGCAGCCCTACTTTCACGTGAGCAGACTGCTCATGTCGTGCCATGTCCCTGGCCTCTTCCTGTTTTGTAGATAGAGAGCAGGCAACAGCATGGCACACCCAGCTGTGGACAAGGGACGAGCGACAAGGTGGCTGAGGGGGCACAACTGTTGTATTGCTCCCCCACGTCGTGATTGATTCGCGGAGCCCCCGAAGCGGGGGCAGCGCGGTTGTTGCTGCCCTCTCTCTTTCTCATCATCTGGGAGAACGAAAGCCGAAAGAAGAAGGGCGCAATAAAGGGAGAGCGTCGCCAGATCTCTACACCGGCATATGCGCCCACGTCCAACGGAAACAGTATTGTCTGTAGTATGCGTTTCGGCTGCCTCTGCACAACAATAATGTTCAAAGATTGGCACCACTGGTTTGACTACATACATGCAGGACTTTGAATAATAGATCGCCAACTTCCCAAACACTGCTGCTGTTGCCCGAAATAAATCATGCCGGATAGAACTGCCCGACTGTCAGCGCTCGAAACCGCTGTGATGGAGAGATCGAGAAAAAAAATTGGCCATTCAAGTGGGTAATGTTGTGCGAAGAAATCGGTCGGTGCGATGGTAGACGTACAATCAATGTGGTGGACGACAACGATGACCTCTGACCTTGAGAGTTCTTGCACATTTATCTCCAACGTGTGTGTATCTTGGTGGACTGACCATGCCATTGCCCAGAAAGAAAACCGTGATGTGAAGACAAAGGCAACAACAACGAAGGTGACAACGACGGCGGCGGCGGCGGCGGCGGCAGCGACGGCGACAGCACCCCCGGATCGTTACTCTTTGTGCGTGAGTCTGCCAGCCGAGCAAGTGCTGACGACGACCATAAGCATTGCAGCAGCCGAGGCGACAAGGCCACGACAACTTCCAGTTCACTGTTAAAATCACATTACTCTGTATGTGTTGTTTCGCTCCAAACGACCACCACAAAACCCCCACCATCTCGACTTCCCACACTCGTTGGCATGCATCGTTCATGGTGAATATCGAGCAACCGCAACCAACCCTCTATCGTTGGGGGGGGGGGGTACTCATCGTTGTGCATGCCGCAGTCGTGAGACCATTGACCTCGCATGCCTACAAAGCCAAGGCGGAGCGCGGGGCGGGGGGGTGGCAAGTCCGCTTCTACACAGGTGTTGGCGGGGGAAAACGTCGACCAGAAGCTTGACCCGAATACAAGGTTTCGTTTCGATCGTCCAGGAAACCACAAAAGGCCTACACCTCGCCACCTACACACTGTTTCGCAAGTCGCGACCCAGCCTACCCCTTAGTCTACGCCAAAACTCGGCATCCCACACAGTTTTTCGGAGAGTCGGCCCTGCCAACCTCGGACTCTACGCACAAACAAATAATTGAGGGTATGATGCGGAAACCACTTTCCATCCTTTCCTTCTCCTGCGGACCAACAATCCTGCTGTAAAAAAACATCACGACAAACGTAGCAAATGGGGCTATTACATAGCAGTCACCGCCTTTCTACTTCCCCGAGTCCGCTCCCCCCCCCGCGGTCCCGCCAGGTGTTTAACTACCGGTGACAACCGGGGAAGGAGCACCGATTTATCGATCTCCCACAACGCTGAAGAGCTCCTGCACCATTCGTTTCCTTCCATCCTCTTGCTGTGCCTCAGTTAATCGGGGAGTAGGCCGGACTGGCGTCATCGGGACTGTCATGGAAGGTGGTTGTAGGGGGGAGGGGGGCGTTGTCGCAAAGGGAATCAAGAAACAATGACAATGGTAGCTTGAGGGGTGCAATCATGCTGAGCGAGAAGCATAGGCGACCACACAAAGTCCTGCCTGTCAAGCATGTGTTTATTAACAGTGTTGAACAAAACAGTCGTCGTAAATATCGCCTATTTCCTATCAACTCGCTGCATGGAATCCCACACTAGCCCAGACGAGAGCGAAGCGAACGAATTTCGACCAGCGTGCAGAGCGCACCCCCGCCTAAACCAAATCCCGTTCCCCGTTCTACACACCTTGCCGGGCTGTTCGGGCTCGTCGGGCTCATCGGACTCGACGGAGTGCTTGGCCCGTCCGGGCTGTACGGACTGCTCGCCCCGGCGTACGGGCTCGTGCCCATAGGGCTGTACGGGCTACTCCCTCCTGCTGGACTCGTCGCACCGCCCGCCCCCGGGGACGTGCCCGGGGAATCTTCTGGGCTTGCCGGGCTGCGGGGGCGACGCGGAATCGGGTGGGAGGGGGCATGACAGTTCGGGTGTTGTTGAGCTGGCTGGGGCGTAATCAACTAGAAAGTCAGGCGGGTCGGGGGGGGTGCGAGAGAACGGGGGTGCAAAGGGCAAAAAAGGACGATATCGCCGGAGGTGCTGGTGGCGGATGGAAGCTTTCGTTACACGGGGAGCTACTAAATAGTCATCATTTGCATCATCTTCTCGTTCTTGTGTTGGCAACCTTGAGTAAGTGCTACACGCGCTGCCTGCAAAAACAACTTTGGTTTTTCGCGCCTTAACGGGATTGGAATCGAACACGGAGGGAGCTGGTGAGCGGTCGGCACAGCCTACATACTTGCAATGGCAGACACAAAAAAACACCATCAACAGCACAACTACCGCCACCAACAGCAACAGCAACAACAACGACAACGACAACAACGACAACAGCGACATCAAAACAAGCCTGTCCCAGCCCAAGACCGAAGTTGACATACCTTCCAACGCCCGGTGAGGTAGGACTGTAAGCCGGGCTCGTCGGGCTGTAGGCCGGGCTGGTGGGGCTGTACGCCGGCGACGTCGGGCTATAGGCCGGGCTAGTCGGGCTGTATGCCGGACTGGTCGGGCTGTATGCCGGCGAGGTCGGGCTGTATGCCGGGCTGGTGGGGCTGTATGCCGGGCTGGTGGGGCTGTACGCCGGGCTGGTGGGAGAGTAGGCCGGAGATGTTGGGCTGTAGGCCGGGCTTGTTGGACTGTAGGCGGGCGACGTCGGGCTGTACGCTGGGCTAGTCGGACTGTACGCCGGGCTGGTGGGGCTGTAGGCCGGACTAGTCGGGCTGTAAGCCGGGCTTGTCGGGCTGTAGGCCGGACTGGTCGGGCTATATGCCGGCGAGGTCGGGCTGTAGGCCGGGCTGGTGGGGCTGTACGCCGGGCTGGTGGGAGAGTAGGCCGGAGATGTTGGGCTGTACGCTGGGCTTGTTGGGCTGTACGCCGGAGAGGTCGGGCTGTAGGCCGGGCTGGTGGGGCTGTACGCCGGGCTGGTGGGAGAGTAGGCCGGAGATGTTGGGCTGTACGCTGGGCTTGTTGGGCTGTACGCCGGAGAGGTCGGGCTGTAGGCCGGGCTCGTCGGACTGTACGCGGGGCTGGTTGGGCTGTACGCCGGGCTGGTGGGACTGTACGCCGGAGACGCCGGGCTGCTCGGGCTGAAGCTCGGGCTGTCCGGGCTGTACCGCGGCGAGCTCGGACTGAAGGCAGGGCTAGAACCAATGCCCATCCCGGGCGACACCGGCGAGCTGTGAGGGCTGAACGACCCCCCCGAGAAGGGGCTGTTCGCCACCGGCGAGAAGGCGCTCGCGCCGAAAGGTGTGCTAATCCCTGGGCTCGCGCCCGGGCTGAACCTGGAGTGTACGAATGACGTCATGGCGGGGGGGGGGGGGGGGGGGGGNGTGGGTATGGACATTGATCCCTCGTATGGCAGCTGTCGGTCACGGTGGGGACGCCTATGTCGAGTGCCGCTGCTATTGCTGCTGCTGCTGCTGGTTACACCCTCACGACCTCACGACATTTGAGCCGCCGGCAACATCACAAAGTCAAACCAAAGCCAGAGCAACGAGCACAACCAACACTTGCTCGGACAACGCGGCGCAGCTTCTACTGTTGCCACGCCGCCGCCGCCTCCGCAACCCGCTCCTTCGTTGAAAACATGACTATCCACAAAAAAAAAGGCGTGCAGGAAACGAGGGACAAAAGCTCACCCTGGCGTGAAATGCGGGGTCCCCGCGGGCGTCATGGACGGCGTCCCCATGTACCCGCCTGCCCCACCGGCGGTGCCGCTCCCCGCAGCGCCGCTGAGACGGGCCATGGTGGTGTCGAGCTGGGTGAGTTCCATCGCCTGCGACAGCTTGCTCTCGTCGAGGAGGAGGTCCATAGTCCCGGTACCGAGGTTAGCGAACTGTTAACAGAAAGGGCCAAGGATGGGGATTGAATAGGGGGGGGTTGTTGACCGGGTGCAAGGGGGACGGAGGGAATGATGTGCGCGGTTGAGACGTTTACATGGGACGTGGTACGCGGGCGGGTATGGGTAGAGATGTAGCCAAGTACAAAATCACCAGTTTGTGACATCAATGACAAACACCACCAAAAAAGTTACGGGTTCGTGAAAGTAACAACAACAACAACAACAACAACAACAACAACCAAAATCATGAGTTTGTCACAACACAACAACAACAACGACACCACCGCAACCACCGCCACCAACACCTACAACAACAACAGCAGCAACAACCGTTCCACGAAAACACTCGCCTGCCCGAGCATAATGTTGTCCGTGACCCCCTTGAGGTTGTCGGCCTCCGCGAACACCGCCGCCTCCATCAAGATCTCCACCGTCTCCTCGAAGGACGACCGGAGCATCGGGCCGTTGTCCACCCGGTTGATGCCGTGTCGCGTGATGGCCATAAGGTGGCCGCGGAACGTCATAACATCGATCAGGGTGCTCAGGTGCCGGTAGTTTACGTAGGAACCGTCTCTCTCCACCACGGCTCTGCGAAATTGTTGACGCGTGTGGGGAGGGGGAGGGGGCGAGGGGAAACGCGGCGACAGAAAATTGGCGGCGGGAACCAGCAAGCAGCAGCAACAGCGAGAGAAGGGTCTTCCACGATTTTTTTTTTTCGTTCAAAACAATCCTGACAGGCACCGCGACAACAAAGTTGGCTTCCCTCGAGACTCCATTCCGATTCGGGAGCGGCCATGAAAGGCACCGGCCGAGCAGTCCGCTCGATACCCGCGTGAGTTTAACAACGCCAACACAATACAACACGAACGTCGTTGCGACAAACAACGCCCACCACCAGCCGTAACGCGCGCCTTTTGCCCCCAATAAACCCGCGGGCGATACACGGAGGGATAGCCATTATCCGCTCCATACCCGTGAGCTTCGACAAACCCCAACATTGAGACACAGCAACCTACGTCGCTGCGGCAAAAAACAACCACGCCTCCCGCCTCCTCCTCACCGGAACTCCTTGAGAAGTGAGCCTCTGGCGCCCTCGATGCCCAACACCGTGCAGCACTCCACTACGTCGTTCGACACGGTACGTCTGGGGTCGATCTGCTCCGCACACAGCGCCGCCATGAGGTTCGTGCCGTCAGTCTCTAGCACCCACTCCTTGTGCCGCTGCGCGAAGCCGTTGATCTCGTCGAACCTCGGCTTGGTAACCTCGGACATGTACACCTGACGGGCAAGACAGAGAGTGTAGCATACCAGCGAGAACAAAATAGAGGTAATTAATTTTACGGGAATCGGGATCTTCAGGACTGGGTCGCTCACAGCGCAGCAGGGCGATTCGACCCCCTCTGAAAACAGTACGTTAACTTCGCGCCCTCACAGCGCGCGCCCAGACGCACGGCGAGACTCGCGCCTTCGCACGGTGGCAACTGGTGGCCTAGCGAACAGAATGACTCATGTCGCGCGGTCCCGATTGTGCCCGCTGAGTTGGGAATCAGTGTCGTCAAAGCGCGCTGAAACCCGCAGAACCGACGTCTTTCGTCTTCCGTTCGCAAAAGGTGACAGTCCCGTTTTGCGGGGTTTTGGTATTTAGGTTGGTGTGTTGCCAGCAGGGAGAGAAAAACACCCTCAATAGCCAGCACGTACTACCGTCTATTCACCTCTAGTGCGGTTTGTAGCAAGCGCAGTTTTCACGTAGTAGGTCGATCACAGTTTCTGAGCAAGCTTAACGAAGCCGCTCAACGAAGCCGGGAGCGTGTAGCCCTCTCTGCTGCTGTGGGTTCTGGATCTTTAGTTGGGTCAAAACTTGGCCCAAACTTGTGGAAGTAAAGATAGATTCGTTTTAGTCTCCTCACCACACCCGAGCCACGCTCACACGCCAACACTTCAACACAGCAGCCGCTACCCTCCGAGTTGCATCCCGCTACCGGGAGTTGGCGCGTGGGTTGCGATGCATCCGGCGACCGTGTCTTCATTTTTTAAGTAGTCACAACCGTTTTTTTTTTTTCCTTCTTGCGCCTTTTTCCAGGTTCTTGCACGTATTGTACTGCGTGATCTTTTCCTCCTGTAGTTCTGGGCTTGCGTTGTCTTCCCATGCGCACCTATTGCTACTGTACATTCGTTTGTAAGTAGTCAAATCTGATTTTTCTTTTGTTTTGAGTACTTCCTGCGAAGTCTCGGCGTTCCTATCTAATACATTTTTTGTGTTCCTCCATCGGGCCCCGCTGTCATGCGACACTCATCCTTCCCATCAATTACAACACTCCCGCCCTTGGTATCCAGCCTCACCCACCATCCACACCATTCCCTTCCACCATCACCTAGACACAGCAACCCAGAGGACGGGGGGGCCGATAGGCCCCCCACGTCCGGAGACCCTTGCACAATAATAACATTCGGGGAGGTGGGGTCATCACGAATTTGTTGCAAACCTGAAAGGAAATACACAGAATAATATGTGTGTGTGTGTGTGTGTGTGTGTGTGTGTGTGGGGGGGGGGGGGGGGG